AAAGGAAGAGTGACCGGTCCAGCCTGGGGAATCAGCAAGGGCCTTCAGGAGGAGGCGGCCCAGGTGGAATCTTGATGGACAAATAGTGGCTTGCTAGGCACGGTGAGGACGGGAGGTACGCAAGGGAGTTCTGGGCAGGAGGAACAGCACGTTCAGAGGCGTGGAGGCGCACGGGACCCAGGGCAGCAACCTCTGAATCCGCCATCACTGTCCCCACTTCCTTTCTCTCTGGGAACCGATGCCTCCCATGTGGGCCAGGGACCTTCCACGGCAAGCGACATGGTTTCACGTGGTCCACTGCGGGGTACCTCGCATGTCATGAGAACCATCTCCTTTTAAGCGCTCCCTCTCTTTGAACCAGTCAGAAGGAGCGAAGGTGCCCCTGTATCTTTAACACCTTTCTCTCTGACATTTGCCATTCCTCCCACCTCCAGCCTTAAAAAAGTAGGCTTTCCGGGTTCGTGGAAACGTTCTACGTCTTGATTGTGGGGGTGGTTAAAAGGGGGCGGTATATCATTTGGCAACACTCATTGAACGCGATGCTCCGAATCTGTATGTATAAGTTACACCTCAAAAAAAAAAACAAAAAAAAAAAAACAAAAAAAAAACATCGAGGGGGAAAAAAGAGTGGGCCTCAGGCTCAGAGCCTTTGGCTGGCCACAGTGTCTCGCTTGAATTTAGTAACTTTTATTTTTATTGTAGTTTTTTACCCTACCTTCTATTTATGGAGGTGACACTGATTTTCCATTTGTGGTAGTGGTGTAAAGTTTCCCTTTAAGTATAAAAAAAAAAAAATGTGAATGGGCTTAAATAGAAGTATTAAGTAAATAATACCAGTGATATATTATACATACAGCAAAGATCATACAAGTGGTAAGAAAAGCAAGACTTTTGGCAATGTTTCTAAGAGATTTTGGTGAAAGTTTCCCTTTAAGTATAAAAAAAAAAATGTGAATGGGCTTAAATAGAAGTATTAAGTAAATAATACCAGTGATACATTATACATACAGCAAAGATCATACGAGTGGTAAGAAAAGCAAGACTTTTGGCAATGTTTCTGAGAGAATTTGGTGACTCTAAGACGAAACTAGTTTTGCTCAGCGTTGAGTAGGCATCGCGAGGACTTAACAGAGCTGTCTGTGCAGCTGGCAGTTGTGTAAGGAGAAATAGTGAAGGATTCTAGCTACTTTAAAAAATGTTTTAGTGATGAGCTGTTTGTCTGTGAGATTCACGGTCAAATATCCAGAGAACGGAGAACTCAGTGATTATAAACTACCTTCCTTTGCCCTGCTTGCTGTTAAACTTTCAAAATCTTGAGGGAACAAAAGAGAGGAAACTCTGCTCCTTGAATTAATTGAAACCAATGTAAATGCTTGAAATGCTTTTGCTGAGCAAAGCAGCCTTTCTGTTTTTGACTGCTGCCAGGGAGCATGAGCGATGTGTGTTTGCATGGTGGGTTCTGTGACTTTTCACATCAGCCCTGATGGGGTGTTGCTGATAAGACGTAATGCAGTTTTTCTGATAAGGCCGGAATTTTTGCTAGGAGACTTTTTGTGTTTTGTTTTGCTGGTTTGCAGGGTAATGGATTATCAGAATGTTGTTATGGAGCAGATATTAATTTCTTTCTGGATTAAAAATCTATGTTACCTGCCGGGAAGGTGTGGGTTTGTGGGCATATGTGTGTACATGCGTGTGTGTGCATGTGCATGTATGTGCTTGTTCGCACGAATATGAGTTTATATTGATCCACGGCTTCATAAGAACTCTAGACCCTATGAACTCTGGAAGAATCAAAAGATTTCATAGCCGGAAGCAACCAAGGAGACTGATTCAGTTTAACGCTGCTGTTCTGTTATAAATAAGTTTAAGACAGAGTTGGTTGGGTGGGGAAGGTTTTTAAGGTCACACAGCTAGTTCGTGGCAGAGCTGGAGTAGATCTCAATTTCTTGCTTCCTAAACTGGTGTGTCATTAATATATATCATGTTATTCACACGCGTGTGTGAGTGTGTGCGTGTGTCTGTGTGTGCGTGTCTGTGTGTGCGTGCACGCGCGCGTTGTGTGCGTGTGTATGTGTGCGTGCATGTGTGCGTGTGTATGTGCGTGTGAGTGTATGTGTGCCTGTGTGTGCGCACGTGTGCATGTGTGTGTGTGCGTGTATGTGTGTATGTGTGTGTATGTATGTGTGTGTATGTATGTGTGTCTGTGTGTACGTGTGTGCATGTGTGCGTGTGTGCATGTGTGCGTGTGTGCATGTATGTGTGTCTGTGTGTGCCCGTGTGTGTGCGTGTGTGCGTGTATGTGCATGTGTCTCTGTGTGCGCATGTGTGCATGCATGTGTGCGTGTGTATGTGTGTGTACATGTGTGTGTCTGTGTGTGTGTGTGCGTGTACACATCCTCTCACCATTTTTATACTACGCACACGGTATGCACCTTGCCTTTCCCCTTTAACACGATCTTGTGATCATTCCATCTCTATACAGAAAGAACTCTTTTCAACCTTTTTTATAGCTGTTTTGTATCTCGTAGGAACGAACCAGAATTTACCCCATCCCCAGTCGATGGACATAAGGTTGCTTCTAGTCCTTTGGGATTACAAACAAGGCAGCACTAACCAACCTTACGCGCGCTCCACTTTGCGCACGTGAGAGTAGATCTGCAGGATAAATTTCTAAAAGCGACATCGCTTGGTTCCAATGACACGTGTGTTCTCTCAGGGTAGCATCTTGCCACCTCGTGGTTTGGATATGGGCATCTTTGAGTCGTAGCTTAAATATTTCACATCGACTTTCCTCCACTCGCTTTATTTATTCATTCAGCCAACCAGCAAAAAAGGAAAAAAAGGTTTTGAAGGCTCGCTTTGTGGCAGGTCCCGTCCAGGTGCTGAGAATGCAGTGGGGAGGGAGAGAGTCCCCGTGGAATTGATGGACTGTTGGAGGTGGGGCTGGAGGTTGGGGGAGAGGCTGACAGTAAGTGAATAACTTCAGAATGACTTAACTGGGCTTGTGAGAAGTGCGTGGGGCATAGCGGGGGAGCGCGAGTGGGGTCTGACCTCCTCAAGGGGGCCAGGAAGCCTTCTCGAGCGCAGGGCATTTTAGCTGGAGAGAATGAGTGACGTTAGCTACATAGAGAAGGGGCCTGGTGTGCGGGGGGAGGAGCAGTGGAGGCACAGGGAACAGCAAGTGCAAAGGTCCTGAGGCAGAAAGGAGCTCCGCGCTTTCCACGAACAGGCAGACAGCCAGTTTGGCTGGAATCCAGAGAGAGGTGAGGCTGGAGGGGCAGGCAGGGCCTGGCCAGGCTGGCCTAGTTCAGATTGTTTAACTTTACCCTAAAAACTACGGGACGAGATTCCCTGAATAGATAAATATATGATGTCAGCTGGTAACTGGTGTCAATGGAGAAAAGACGGCAGGAGAAAGGGGTGGAGGTTGACCCTGGGTGGGGTTGGGGACGGTCTTTCCGATGGGCCAGTCTAAGGGGCTGACTGAGCAGACAGATGAAGGAGCTAAGAGAAGCAGCCATGGGAAGATCTGGGGAGCAGAGTTTCCAGGGAGAGAGGACAAGACACTCCGGAACCCGGAGGCGGACTCTGCTGGAGGATCAGCGAAGGCAGCAGGAAAGCCGGTGCCGAGTCAGGTTCGGTGAAAGTGGCGAGACCGGCCGGGGCCGGGGGACAAGTGCGCTAGGGACTTCGTATCTCATCTGAAGTGTCCGGGGAAGCCTTTAAAGCGGATTTCATGAGTGGACGTTGCAAAATGCCGCGTAGAGCACAGACCATAGAAAGCAGAATGTGGAGACCAGGAACTCGGTCCAGGTGGGCAAGGACGGCGGCTCGGACCAGGGCGGCTTGTCGTGCGGAGGGGGCGGCGTGTGAATTTCATTTATACTTATCAATAGAGTGGCCAGGATTTCCTGATGTACTGGACAGAAAGGCGCGGGAAGGAGGGGAGTCAAGGTGAATTAAGTGGTAACGGGGGCGGGGGGTGACCTCTGCCGAGCTGGGGAGGGTGAGGAGGGCAGGCAGGGGAGTGAGGTGGCGGGAACGGGGCTCGCCAGTTCCCTCACTAAGTCCGCTCTCCAGCTGTGGGTCCCTTCGAGGTGGCAGCAGAAGCCTGAGCTAGATGGCCACTGTCCGAGGAGCAATGACGTCATTCTGCATCTGCCGGTGTTGATAGTTCGGGGAGTCTGGATAGCCAGGGCCTCGCCTTTCAGGCGTCCGGTGGCTTGGATGTGGGATGTCTAGCCCCCACTAATTCTGTATTTGGGCAAATTTCTTCCCCTCCTGGGGCCTCAGATTCCTCCTCTGTAAAATGACACAGGAGTCCCGGTTCTGAATTAAGCCACTTCTGAGACTCAGGCATGAACATCTGGGGTTTGAAGCCCGAGCTCCACAGACTCCAGGCCCGTGCAGCCTCCCTCTGCGTCTCGTATCTGCATCAGCAGAGTGATGAGATGGGCCTGGATCCGTGTTTTTCAAACTGTGGGTCAGGACCCACGGGTGGGACAGGGAATCTGTTTAATGGGTTGTGACCAGTATTTCAATGACACGGTGCCAGACAGGAGGGAAGCTAAGAGCACATCATACGTAGCAGGGTAAGTATTGTTTTATGAAACGTGTGTTTCAGTTGTGAGCGCATATGATGGTGTGAACTAGGCTGTGAAATCGAATGCATTTCTTCTAAGGGTCCCATTTGGACAGAAGTTTGGAAGCCGTGAGCCCGGCTGGTCGTCCAGGCCTCTGGCTAACGGCTGCCCAGCTTGGCCAAGCTGTGCGGGGGGCACCTGCACCCAAACCTTTATGCTTGGACCTGGCTCTTCAAGGAATCTGGGATGAAGTGGCCTTCTGGTGAGGGGAGGAGGGTCCAGCTTCGGGGTTTGACAGCGGTGGGGATTAAAAAAAAATAAAAATAAACAGCAGGAGAGGAGTCGACCTGTGATTGCTCTGCGTCGCGAGTTCTGTTTTAGAGGCTTAAAAAGACCCCTCCCCCCTTCTCTTTCCAGAAGAACCGAATGCACATAAGGTCGCCAGCCCACCCTCCGGACTTGCGTACTCTGATGATGTCCTGGACTATGGCCTCAAGCCATACAGCCCCCTCCCCAGTCTCTCTGGCGAGCCCCCCGGCCGATTCGGAGAGCCGGATAGGGTAGGGCCCCAGAACTTTCTGAGCCCGGCCAAGCCAGCGGGGGCCTCGGGCCTGAGCCCTCGGATCGAGATCACTCCATCCCACGAACTGATGCAGGCAGGGGGGCCCCTCCGCGTGAGAGACACTGGCCTCCTGGGGGAGCAGGCGCCCCTGGCGGGCGTGGCCGCCAGCCCGAGGTTCACCCTGCCCGTGCCTGGCTTCGAGGGCTACCGCGAGCCGCTTTGCTTGAGCCCCGCTAGCAGCGGCTCCTCTGCCAGCTTCATTTCCGACACCTTCTCCCCCTACACCTCGCCCTGCGTCTCGCCCAATAACGGCGGGCCCGACGACCTGTGTCCCCAGTTTCAAAACATCCCTGCTCATTATTCCCCCAGAACCTCGCCAATAATGTCACCTCGAACCAGCCTCGCTGAGGACAGCTGCCTGGGCCGCCACTCGCCCGTGCCCCGTCCGGCCTCCCGCTCCTCGTCGCCTGGTGCCAAGCGGAGGCATTCGTGCGCCGGGGCCTTGGTTGCCCCGCTGCCCGGAGCCTCACCCCAGCGCTCCCGCAGCCCCTCGCCGCAGCCGCGGGACGACGGCGCCCCCGCTGGGTACCCCCCCACGGCCGGCTCTGCCGTCCTCATGGATGCTCTGAACAGCCTTGCCGCGGACTCGCCTTGTGGGATTCCCACCAAGATGTGGAAGACCAGCCCCGACCCGTCGCCCGTGCCTGCCGCGCCGTCCAAGGCCGGCCTGCCCCGCCACCTCTACCCGGCCGTGGAGTTCCTGGGGCCCTGCGAACAGGAGGAGAGGAGGAACTCGGCCCCCGAGTCCATCTTGCTGGTGCCGCCGACTCAGGCCAGCTGGGTCAAGCAGCTGGTGCCCGCTATTCCCATCTGCAGGTGAGTCGGCCTTTAAACACCATTCGTTCTATGATTTCGTGTCCAGAGAAGCTTTTCTGGCCGTGAGCATGGGATTCAGAGTTAGCCAGACTGGTTTTAAATCCCGGCTCTCCATTTACCAGCTGTAAGACCCTGAAAAGAAAGGAAGTTCAATTCCACAGTTTGCCCATCTGTAAAATGGGTATAAGGTTACCTGGTTTCCTGGGTGGTGGTTATGAGGTCATAGGGTGAATGTGATGCTCATATGGCACCTGGCTCCTTCATTCATTTATTTGATGAGTATTTATCAAACACCTACTGTGTGCCAGGAACTGTTGCTATAGGTGTTGGGGAGATAGTGGTGAACAAAATAGGCAAAAATGTCTGCCTTCACGGAGCCGACGTGCCCCTAAGCACAAAGCTAGCCTTAACAAGTGCGATTTTCTGTCTTATAAGAGGAATCGATATTTGTCGGCGTCTGCGAGGTACCTCGAGACTGTAATCAGTAACATGGAGGCCCTAAAAAATGCATGAGCCATAATCCTCAAGGAGCTCAAAATCTTGGCACGCCCAGAGGAGCTGTAGGTAGCAGCAGCATGTAGGCCTGGGCTCTCTCAGGACTGGATCTGAGCCCTGGCTTTGCCTTTCCCTGGCTGTGTGATCACCCGCTGGCATCTCTGGTGCTGCTATCATGCTGTGCCCGTAACAGACATCACTAATCATGCAGGAACCTCTTTCTCACCAATGCACTTTTTCCATGCCATGCCCAGGGCAGACATTGCTAATCAATCAGGACCTTCCTTCTCATCGAGCACCTTTCTGGGCCTTGGTTTATTCCCTATGAGATGAGGATAATAATAGTACGTATCTCATGGTGTTTTTTCAAGGATAAAGTGAGGTGATATATGTCACACTCTTGGCATTGAACCTGTACAAAGTAAGAGCTCAAACAAAGGTGCCGCTCTTATTGCTGTGAGGAATCTTCTTCATCTGGAGGAAGCACCTTTGTCGCTTCCTCGTTGACAAGCCTCGCGCTAGGAGATTGAGCTGCCAGTAGCCTTCAGAGTAATGATAGTGACAGTAATAATCGCCGGTATTTAAGAATGCTTGCGATGTGCCAGGTACAATTCTCAGTACTCTCCATGTATTATTTCAATTAATTCTCACATAAACCTGGCTCGATATTATTTTTACCTTCATTTTGGAGATAAGAAAAATGGAGTACACAGTGGTTAGGAGCAGATATTATTCTATCCATTCTCTTAGATGGAGAATCTGAAGCCTTGTGCTATTACTATTATCCCAATGGTTTTCAAAGGGTCGTTGGTTTTTAGCAAGGAGAAGCCTCTTTTTCTTTTCTCATGAAATGTTGAATACCAAAATAAATAATGGTAGAGAGTTTTGATTGGTGTGGGGTTGAGAGTAGCCAAGGGCCCTGTTCACTAGGCCTGGCTTACCCCCGACACCAGGCCGAAGTGGACCCAGACGAGCTTCTAGTCTGGCATTTCCTCCAAAGCATGTTCTGAGAACACCGGGGCCATAGTAGGTCAATCGGTGTCCCTTAGGAAAAGGAGTTTCTGGGTTTAACGGAGTTAAATAGATGCTTTTGTGTAGAGGCCACTCCTACTTGTGGATGGAATGAGCAGTGATTTCAAAGACTGGCCACAGAGTTCTGAGTTCTGGGACGAAAGTGTCACAGAGCCACCTTGAGAAATGCTGATCAAGGCCAGCCTCTGGCACAGGTTGAGAGACCTGGGCTCAGGGAGGTGAAGTGACATGCCCATGATCACTCAGCTAGTTAATGACTGAGTTGGAAATTAGAATCCAGGATTCCTGAGTTCTTGTTCTTTCTGCTAAATCTCAATCTCCAAAACTTGACTTATTTAATGATTGGGAGTGGAGAGGAGCGTTAATATAAAATATGATAAAGCCACATTTACCTGAGACTTTATTGTCTGTAAAGTCCTCCCCTCTGCATTCTGTGGCTTTATCTGAGAGGTTCTGATGTGTTAGGGTCCTTTAGTCCCTAGCAAGTGCCAATCTATGCCAACCAATGAGATATTTGCAAGGATTTTCTGTAAGATTGAAAAGAAGGGCATTCATGGAAGTCTCGTGATAATATTTATCTCAGGTTGTGTGGACAACTCAGTAGAGGGTGGAATTTAAATGCAGGATTTCAGACTGCCTCCAGTCTTCTGATTCTTAAGATCGTATTTCAGTTCTCAAAGACTTACTCCAGAACAAACAGCATTAGAAGTTGGTACTTAGGGATATCCCACTGAATCTTCTACTTACTTAATTTTTTGATACTTCTGAAGACACAGGGGCGAAGTGAATTTTTTATGAGCCTTAATTTGCAAACTTTACAATTTTAAACTTGAATACAAGATGAGAGTAAGAGTATTTACCACCTACGGCACCTTGGCTGTAGCAGAAGCTTGAAGGCCTGTTGACACTGTAACTAAGGTAGAAATAAAGGCACTTTGAGCATCCTAAGACATCAGGGTAAGAGGGGCTTCAGCAGACAATGTGGTTGGAAAGAAGGGATTGAGATTTGCTTGCATAGCGAGGATACAATTTTAAGATCAATTGTCAATTCAGGTTGGACTCTGGCACTGATGGAGTTTATGGGGTGCCATCCCCTTCCATTCTCCCCTCGATATTGATATGCTAGGGAAGGGATGGAATTGGCTTCATTGCAAGTGCTTAACTAAGTCCAGTTGATAACTAAGTCAGCTTCTCGCAGCTCTGGGTTTAGTGAGAAAGAATATCCTGATTGGATTAATGATTTCTGCCATATGTGAAAAATCAGGACATGATGACATAAATCCATGCTTTGAACTTCAAAGCTACTTTGAATATACAGGGGTTCTTTGAAATAAAACTGCTCATTTATTCATTCATTTATCTATCCATCCATCTGCCCATCCACCCACCCAGCGAACATTCACTGAGTGCCTCTCAAGTGTCAGGCATTGTTCTAGAGTCATTCCATAAATGCGATGTTTTCTTGGACCTATTTTAAGGAAATTAGTAATAAGATAAGAGACACTACAGAGATGCGGTTAGAGCCCTGGACTAGGAGTCAAGAGACGTAAATTGGATCCTTGGCTCCATCTTGCTCTGTGATTTTGGGACAATGTCTTTAGGTTCTCCGAGGATCTGAAGGAATGATCTAGATAGATGGTCAAGACCTCAGTCAACTCTTAGATGACATAATTCTAACCACATATCAAGTGTGCTTGCTGTGTGTGCTGAATAGGGTTGAAATTCCATATTAAAATGCAACTTAATGGCATGCCTTATAACTTCAAAGACCTTGCAATTTCAGATGTAGAGGCATGTATATCCAGTGGTGTAACTAAGATTGTTTACAGGAAATAACTATTTATTTGAAATGTACAATATATACAGGAAAAAAATTATAGCTAGTATTTTTTTTTTGAGCACTTCTCGTACTAAGCTCTTTATATAATCTCAGTATCCCCATTTCACAGTTGAGGACACGAAGGCCCAGGAAGGTAGATGCATTTGCTCAAAGTCACACAGGTAGTTAGAAGTGGAGCTGGGACTTGAAGTTGGATATGTGACTCCAGTCATGCTCTTGACCTTTACTCTTCATTTAATATTAGGGGGTCTGAGTGGTTCAGCTCATCCATACCTGAACCAGACACCTCTCTATGGCTGGGTATTCTGCACTTGACATGATAAGCACCGTGACTGGAAATGTCCTCTCCCTAAAATTTACTTTGAATTGAGATCATCGGACATAGAAATAAGAGCTTAAACAACTCTCAGATGCCAGCCACCTAGTGCACTTGTTATGTGGTTATAGGAGACCGAGGTTAAGAAAGCGAAGTTCCTTGACTAATGTCACATGGCGTGTTGGTGACACATGTGGGTCCTCTGATGCCCACTGTAGTGTTCCTTCTCCTGCATGCACTCCTCAGGAAAAGGAAAAAATCCTGGCTAAGGATTTTTTTTTTTAGAGGTGGGGATGTGATACTCTTCAAAATTCCCAGAGGAAAAGAAGTTGTAACAGCTAGAAACACGCTAGAACTAACATATAATGAAACTAGCTTCATCAATTCAGTGAATTTATTCACTACCTTCATCAAGACGAAAGAGAAAGCAAAGAAAAAAGATTTCTATCTTTTGAAGAGCCTTACCCATTGTGTCTGAGAAATATCTGCTTCCCAACAGCCATCGTTTCATTCATATGTACACTGGACATGATTTTTAGAAAAGGGACCATTTATACTTATTGTACAAGTTGACTGATTCTGATTTATTGTACACACGACTGATTCTTTTTCCTCCTTCAGTATCCCAGTGACTGCATCCCTCCCTCCACTCGAGTGGCCACTGTCCCACCAGTCAGGCTCCTATGAGCTGCGGATTGAGGTGCAGCCCAAGCCACACCACCGGGCCCACTATGAGACAGAAGGCAGCCGAGGGGCTGTCAAAGCCCCAACCGGTGGCCACCCTGTGGTTCAGGTATGGACTTGAATTCTTTTTATTTTGCGTCCCTTATTTTTTTACTGGATGATTCACTTCTGCTAAGTCACTGCCTGTTGCTTTTTAGGTTGAGGTATGTGACTCAGCCTCTTACTCCTCAGAGGGGTGGGAAATTTAAGATTGAATTAGTATCTGAAGCTAATGCAGCTACTGAGAATCCAGAGGAGAAAGTTGCCTTGAGCTGGATAAGGACGGAGATGGTATTCATGTTCAAGCCACTTCTTCCCTACTCTTTCTGACTGAGAAACTGCTAGAGTTTGGCAGACATTTGTATGTTGACAGAAGTTTCTGAAGCCATCATTTTGTGTTTAAACTTCAGATGAGAGTCTATAGAGGAAAATCAATATACTCTTGTAAAATATAGAAAAGTAGAAGAAATTAAAACTCTACATAATAAAACTGCCTGAAATAACTATTATTAGCATTTTGATGTATTTCCTGTTGCCTCTTTTCTATTCACAAACATGGCAGTGTCTATGACTATACGTTTATATACTCGATGTTATAGTAGTTTGTACTCTGATTTTTTTTTTTACTTCACATTTTACCATGAGCATTTCCTCTTGTTTTTTTTCTTAATAGTTATCTTTCATGTCAGTGGCTTTTAATTCATCCTCAGATTTTTTTTTTTTATAAGATTTTTTTTTTATAAGATTTTTTTTTTTCTTTTTTCTCCAAAATAGAGTTGAAATCTTTTTAATTGTATAGTCTGGTTCACCAGCAACTGCTGATTGGTACCTACCAATCGTTTATATTAATTTAACTTTTTAAAGTATTTCCCTTCAAGTGGAAATGAGAAGCCTATGATGACAATCTGATGCATCAGAACCCTTTAGAGTAGTTGTTAAAAATACAGATTCTTGAGCATTCCCTGGAATTAGTTAATTAGAAGCTATGTGACATGAGTAGAATTCAGACAACAAACAAACAAACCCCAGCTCCCCAAATCTCTGCAGGTGCTCTGGGTGTGTACACCTGGTTAAGGACTTTTATGATAACGTTAGGAACTTATAGATCCTGGCAGATGCTTTTTCTAAATCTGACATCACTGCCATCTTGGGATCTGTTTCTATTCATTGCGTCTTTTCCTTGACCATGAGTCCCATCTTCCTCTTTCTTTGCATGTCTAGTAATTGTTGACTATATTCTGACATCGTGATGATAATATATACTGGGCATTGTAGAGACTCTGGATTTTGTTATTTTCCTCTAAAGGCTAATCTATTCGGGGTTGGGAACCTCCTGGCTTGGAGGATGGTGTTAGTCTGTGTGTTTGAGTCAAAGCCTTTGGTTGTAATGAGAAACTCATTCAAAGCAGATTAGAAAAAGGAGATTGTATGAGGGGACTGCTGGGCTAGGGCGTAAAACCAGGCCGGGAGACTCAACTCAAGAAGCACCTGGACTTGGGAAGTCAAGGTTCAAGACACTTCTTTGCTCGGTCAGGATTTATTCTGCAAGTATTTGTTGGGCGTCTACCTTTTGTCATATGCTGTGCTTGATACTGATATATATATATGAAATATAATGAATAAAAAAGTTATGAACTCTTTCTTCATGGAGCTCGTGAAGCTAGGGGGAAGGAGTCACTGACTAATTACGTAAATGATAAAATTACAAACTGTGGCAACTGGCATGAGGGAAAGCCCTTGGGGCTCTGGTTGTGTAAGACGGGGGACGAACATCTGTTAAGATTTTCCTGAGGAAGAGACTAGAGCCGAGATTGCGTGGGAGGAATAGCATGTGCAAAGGCCCGGAGGCAGAAGGAACCACATCAGAGGACCTTAAGGAGTCTGGCGTGACTGGAGTATGAAGGGCCAGAGAGAGAGGGGAGAGAGGCGGGAAGGGACCAGGGCATGCAGGGCCTGGATAGCCACGGGGGAGAGTTTGGCTTTTATTCTGAGATGACAAAAGCAGGAAAGAAACATGACTTGATTAGGGGTTTGATAAGACCCAACTCTAACTGCTTCTTGGGGGTTGGAGCTGAGATAAGGAACAGAGCCGGGAGCTTCCGTCCATGGTCTCTATGCTTGTAGGGCTTCTTCATTCTCTGATCATTCGACAAACGTTTGCGGAGCACTCCTATGTACCAAGCATGGTTCTAGGTTCTGGAATATGGTATGAACAAAATAGCCAGAAATCCTCACGCTCGTGAACTTACAGTTGAGCAAGATGGTAATAGATAACACTTAGCGAGTGTTTACTGTGTGTCAGACTCTGTTCCGAGTGTTGTGTGGATTAACTTATTTAATCCTTAAAGAGCCCTATGGAGCAGGTTACGGTTAGTTTAGGGAGATGTCAAGGAACCTGTTCAAGGTCATAGCTGTTGAGTGGTGGACCTGAGACCCAGGTGTCTGGCTCTACCTGCTACACCACTGTCCCGATCTTCTGCGTTTCTCTTCAGGCCAGCTTTCCCTGCCTGATGGAAAAATGCCCACACCTCCTGCCTATGACTTTTATATGCTCTTCCAATTCCAGCCCCCTTACCAGCTCACTGGGGCCCAAATCCTTGTTCTCAGTGAGATTCTAATTGGTCCTGTTTGGGAAGGGTGCCACCCACTGGTCCAGTTAACTCAGCCAGAGCGGACAGGCCGTGTGAGGTGCTAGGCTCTGTTCACCCATTCATCAGGGCCTAGGGCCATGGAAAGTTCCAGAGAACAGAATGGGCTGAATGTGCAGTTCAAAAGACACCTGCTATACCGTATTGGAAGTTCACGCCCCTCCTTCCAACAGCCCCCAAAGATCCATCCTTTTTCTTGCTCATATCTTTGAAAACTCAAAGTGTGACTTAAAAATCTGTAGCCGTATTCTCAAAAGACACAAAACGAAGTATTTAAAAAAAAAAAATCATTTGAATAGCGTGTTCTCTTTAAAATGAAATGTGCTAACCTCTGCTTTTTTTAGCGTAGGAAGTCAGTTTAAAAAAAAAACTCCTTTGAAAAAATGAAGGAAAGAGGGGACCTTGAGACGATGAGTGCTCTTAACCTTTAAGGAGGTGTGAAAACCCCATTCAAAATCTGGAGGGTGCCCCTTTGTTCCCAGAAGAGCAACCAAAGCCCCATTTTTGTACCTTGCCTAGAAACTTCTGCTGGTTTCTTTCTTGGTCTCTGTCTGTCCCTTTATCTCGCCATCTGTTTCTATTTCTGTACTACGCCACGTCTCCTTTTACCTCTTCTCAATTATTGGTCCCCACCCTTCTCGTTTTTTATTTGCCACACTATAAAACTTAATCTTTTTTCGCATGCTTAGTGGTTTTATGCTCCTCTTTATATGGAAATAAAGTGAGTACAAGACCATTGCATTCTCTTCCTTTAAATATAAAATTTTAAATCTTAAACATATGCTGCATCTAGCTGGTTTTTTTTTTTTCTTCTTCCTGAGTGTCACTTGGTCTTGGAAGAAAGTTTGTTCCAAACCTTAAATGCTTTTCACATCTCCTGACTCATTCATTAGGCGAGCATTTTGTTGAGGACCTGCTGTGTGCTAGGCAGTGATAATATGACGGTAGGTGAGATCAACACAGCTCCTGTGTGGCAGAGCTCAGGGGGCACTGGAGGTGCCCAGGATGGTTTGGTGTAACCAAACATTGCCGAGATGTAGGTGGATCAGGGAGGCCAGGTAAGGACAATCTGGAATGACACATGGACTCTTAAGTAAGACATGGCGGCTGGTCAGAAGCTCATCTGTGGGATTCACAAGTCGGGGGTAATGTCTTCAACAAAACAAACCATGCCAGAGTACTTGGAAGACCTGCTTTAGAGGGAGGGTCTTGTCAAGGAGGCGACTTACCAGCTGGGACCTGGAGCAGGTGATAGAGCCAACGAAGAGAAGAATGATGCCCTTCCTCCCTCTGTCTCGCTATCTCTTGGTGGTAGGAGAGCGTTCCATGCACAGAGCACAGCTCGTGTAAAGGTCCCGAGGCAGGGAAGAACTTGGTGTGTCTGAGGAGCTGAAGGGGGGCCAGTGTCACGTGTGTTTAGCTCGAAGGGTGACGGGTTGGCAGGACCAGGACATGCAAGACTCATAAGCCAAGGCGAGGAGCTAGAGTTTTATTTCGGGGGAAGGGAATGACGAGTTTTGAATAGGGGAGGGAGGTGATTCTGATTTAATATTTTGAGGATCACACGGTTTTTCTCTAGGGAGTGGGTTAAAAGGACTAAGAGGGGAAGCAAGGAGATGAATTCAGCAGGCTGCGGCGTGGCTAAGTGAGAGAGCGAGGTGGTGAGGATGAGGAAGTAGCAGCGGGAAAGGAGGGGGTGGATTCTGTGGTGTGGTCTTCTGGACTTGGTGCTGGCTTAGATGTGGGAGGTGAGGGAGCACCTGGGCTGGAAGATGGTGTCATAGGCCAGGTGGGATGACTTGGAGAGGAAGTCATTTTCCTAGCGGAAGATTATGAGTTCTGTTTGGGGTGTAGGAAGGGCTTGCGAGATGTCCAAGCAAAGATGTCAAGTAGGTAGTTGGGTATATGAGCCTGGAGCTCAGGAACAAAGTCCCGGACTTTCTAATTCTCAGGCCCCTGGAATGGCTTAGACCACACACATGCGCCATCACTCACGGGCTTGGCGTGTGTCCGCTTGGCGCGTGTCCGCTTGTTGCTACCCTCGGTAGCAACCTGCATCTCTCCAGAAGCGATGCGCTGAGGAGAGAGAGGATGGAGAAGCAGTATCACACACAGACAAGCTCACGAGGGCCAGGCAGTGAAAGGAAATGGCCGGATGAGTCAGGGAGAAACGGGGTGCTGGAGAGTAGGGCCCAGAGTGTGCGCCTCGTCTCTCGGAGGCAGCCCCTCTTCGGCTCCCGTTGGTTGTGCCATGCGGGGATGTGGGTCCAGCGCTGCTAGGTTTTACAGTTATTTTTTCAAATCTGAATTTTTATGTGAAATTTCTGATGATTACGTTGGGGCTACTAAATCCAACTTTAGGTTAACTTTGGCTCAGGGCAAATAGCCTCCAGTTCGAATCCTGTGGGGGGTAAATAAGGGC